TAGTAATTAATTTTAACATTTCATATCATTCATTATATGTTTAGTATTTTTAAGATTAAAAATTAGTAAAAAATTAAAATAAAAAAAATGTTTCTAAGCCATAGAAACAACTATAACACATTATAATTTTTGGTTGGGATATTGTTTATCTCCTATATTGTTCAATTGTTGCATGAAATGTGTAAAATATTTTAAGGTACCCTTATTATATATATGCGTTTCTTCAAACTCACTAAGAAAAATCAAGTACCAAATAATCAATTATTATACACTATTTCATATATGAATTGTAAGATATGACTGACTTCCTTCTTCTTTTTTCTCCTTTCTATTTCATTTTCCTCTAAACTCTTTCTTCCTTACCATTTCCAAAGGTTGATCATTAGGAGGGTGAGGAAATCCAAGCTCTAGAGCGCTGGGGAGGGACTTCAAGTAGTGGTGTTCACGGGTCATCTTCTCAGTTCTCTTTTTCTTCTCCGTTCTTCTCTTCTTCTTCCTCGTGGAGCTTGGGATTGGGGTAAGGGAAGCTAGAAAGCTTGAGATTTTGATTTGCATGTTAGGGTTATTTGAATGAATTGAGACTTGATTCTGAAATTTGTAAATGGGGGGATGAATCCGAAGTGACTTGCATGTTGAACATTGGGGTTCCAGTTTTTTGATGAAAGGTTGAACATTGATGATTTTCTTTGAATTTGGCTGTATGCATGCTGAATTTCTTGTGTTTTCTAGGTTGTATGAACAAATTGGATAGAGATTTTGAGTGTAGATCATGTTTAGAGGGAAAATTGGTGAAGAGAAGGAAAGGATCGAAGATGAAACCGATGGATTTTCAAAAAATTCTAAGACTTGCAGCCATAGTCGTGATTCACAGCCATGGTCGTAGGGGAAAATGTGGTGGCAGAAACCTACAGCCATGGTCGTGGTTCACAGCCATGGCTATGGGGAAAAATGTGGTGGCAGAAACCTACAACCATGGTCGTAGAAAGGAAACTGAGCTAGCAGAAATCCAACGCTAAAGTGCTGATTTGAACGCTACAGAGGTGAGGGTAGATGACCGAATTTGGTCTTGAGGTCTTCATGAAAGTTGTATCCTTGGATATTAGATTTCCAATGGTGTTGGAATCACCTAAAAAGGAGGACTAGAGCTCCAGTTATGACCTTTTTAGTGAATAAAGGTCAAATTATCAGGATTTAGGCTAAGTGTTGTGGTTTTTAGAATTTTTAACAAGGTATATGATGTAATTAGGACTTGATGTCGTCATGAGAGTTGTAGTAAATCTTCTTATATTTCATATGAGATAAGGATGAGAGTGATTGGAGTAGTATAACTCCCTATGAGTTGTTTTATGTGAAGGTTGTCAGTGTAGAAATATGTGACTTTGATAAATTACATGTGATACATGTTGTATGATAGGTGAAATTAGTGAACATGATTAGCATGCTTGTATATATTGCATTTTGTGTGTTATAGGATGATGGTAATGAGCATTGATATGCTATCTTTGGGTACTTGAAATGGTGATAAGCATTGGTATGCTTTATATGTTTGATATATTATGTTGAATTTATTGTGAAGCATTGATATGCTATTATTGTATGAATTGTTAAGCATTGATATGCTATTCTTGATTGAGATGTTAAGCATTTGTATACTATACTTGATTAATGTTACTGATTTCTATATGCATCGACTAGATGTAATGTATATAGTATATGTATGGTGGGGTGTGGATGCTAAGAATGCGGTGTGAAATTATAGCATGATGACTAACTTAGGATTTGAGAAGAGAAAATTATTTTGAAAATTGAAGATCCCACATAAGGTATCTTGGAGTGGTGCTCGGGTAGGCCACTGTTTGGAAAAACCCTCCTTGAGTAAGTGTGTCTCTTGGAGTAGGTTTTGAGGTACGTTGAGTCTCCTCCAAATCCTTAGTTAGTGGTTGAGTAAGGTAGGAAGTCGAGGGCTACAACCCTTAACCAAGTACCTGGAACGGTTGCATGGTTCCTTGAGGATAATCAATCGGTGAATTCCATGTGTGACTTGGTAATACATGTCAAGGTCGTGGTAAGCCTATACCCAGCTGTATTACTCTTGACAGTGGAACCAGACTTTTCTAGTGTAAGTGATGAGACTCGAGAAACCAAAGGGGGAATTGGTATCCCATTTTACTGTGATCGAGCCAGTGTTTTGAGCGTGAAAACGATTGGGTTGGTTCGATAGGGTGAAAATCACTTAGACTACTCATGTTGTTAGGAGATCTCCGTAGGTGAATGCATGACGATGCATTAGTCAATGTGTTTGCATATGATGTATGTTGAGATGTATTCATGTGTATTTGATGTCTTCTGGGACATGATTGGGTAAGGTACATGCTTGGTTGGGATGTGATTAGTTTTCATATAGGATATCTAGTGTGTTGTTGTATATGATAAACTTGTTTCTATATGTATATATTTTTTTAAATTCTAGCTTACCCTTTCTGTTTCCATGGTGGTATGGACTACGATGATTATACGTTGTATGAGAGCAGATCAGAACTAGGCTTGAGGAGTTGATGTGGACATGTGTTGTGATTTTTTTGATGGCGGTACTACTGATGTACCTTGTATAGGTGTGCTTGACTGACACTAGGATGTATGATTATTTTGAGATGACTGTATATATATCATGTTTATATTTGTTTGGTTTCTTTTTATATGCTCATGATACTTATATGTATGGTATATTTTCTTTTATTAATCTTGTACATTATATTTACTTAGCCTTAGTTGCTAGTGTTAGTGATTCCATAAAGTGTGGCGACTATGCCGAGTCATTACATGAATCAACACGATCCTTATTCCCAATGTTATATAGCATACAAAGTTAATTTTTGCGCGCCAACAATTGCATATTCAAACAATTTGAAGCAAATGAGACATTATCTGTGTTGGATCCGTAATCCAACGTTGGCTTTATATGTGAATAATTATATATTAAGAACATATAAAGTTATGTCAAATTAAAGTGATCTAATGACATATAAATTATCTTGACAGTTATGTATCTCAAAAGTTATGGGACTTTTAATGTACGATAACTAAAGGGTAATTCTATTTTGTGATGGGTAAAAATAAAAATACAAAAAGGTGATATAATTTTCTATAAATATGTTAGGTCCTAGATCACACGTTCGATTCTTTTCCTTTTTGGCATCCCATTATCATAAAGAAATAGAGAGATAATTAAATAGTTCTCTCAAGAGAGTATGTGTTGATCTGCAAGGTCAAACCACACAACTCTCTTATCATCATGAATTCATGTACGCTTTCGCTTATTGTTTCTAGTAATTAACATGATATAATTTTGTATTTTATATAGATGATAGTTTCATTAGAGGCTTAATTTTGGTTTTAACAATTAATGAAAGTCTTTAATAATTATTTTTTATTATTTAAAATATAAGAGTAAAATTGTCTAAAAAATATATACACTAAATCAAACTATCACCTTTATATATGTTATAAATATTTAGTCCTAATTTAAGAATATAACCTAATTATAAATAATTATATATATTAGAATGCATAAATATTATATATTAATATTTATTCGACTTAAGTTGAGTGTGAATATTTTTTATTTGATAGATAGAAAGAAAATAAATGAGAGGAAGTCTATAGAAAAATATGAAGAGAGAATAAATATATAAAAAAGTAAAATAAATAAAAATTAATATATATAATTAGATTTATGTAGATTCGACGTTATTAGATAAATTAATTATAAAATAAAATTAATAATTGTGATTAGCTTAAAAAAAATTGCAAAAATCAAAGAAGATTTACATAAATTAATTAGAGATATTATACATGTTAATAAATAAAATATGTATATATAATTTTGTTTTATTAATATATA